CAAAGCACTCATAAATTGGGGGAGAAATTAGGTCGAAAGAACAAAGGAAGGAAGGAGACAATTTTTATACATATAATGAATTGCGATAAAAATAGCAGTGTCGGTTCAGAAGAAGTATCAGTCAAGAACGGTCACAAGTGTTGGTCGAGAACAGTCAGAACGGTTAGTCAAGTGTCAGACGCAGCAAGCAGAGTACAAAGTCGAAGATAGTACGAAAAGTTTTAAGGAGGCAGTGCGAAAATTTCGGGTTCATAAAGTCAAGTCGTAAAAATAACGTTCCAGTAATTACGTGTGTGCCAGTAGAATTTTAAAATAACAAATACATCTTGTAAGTACATTTACAGTGTAAAAAAGGAAATTTGTACTCTTTATAAAATAGGACAAACAGTTAATGAATCGATAAATTTACGAAAGTTAAATAATTATCCCAAAAGGAATTAAAACATTTTTAAGATGATATTTCATGAATAATAGTTGGTAAAATGAGAAAATTTGAAGCTAAATTTTCTAAAAGAACTTTTGTTATTGAAACATATTTCGTTATTTATAATTATTTATAACATTTTGAATTGGGATTTTCGTGATTAATAGAGAGTTATTGAAGATTTCAAAATAAAACTAGCAATAATAAGGCAACTACCTTATTTAAATAGCGCTTTACCTAAACGCGGCTGGAAAAAAACAGTTATTGTTCACGATCACGAACACGTCAAGATACGGCTGTTCCTTAATTCTATTTCTAACCTTACTTTACTTACTGACAGCTTTGCTTTGCTGACAAATTTCAAAAATCCGTCAAAATAAGGGCAAATTATATTATTAGTGCGTGACTTTATTCGTGCAGTAATAAAGTCTAGCACAAACGTTAATAAGACTAGCCTTATTCAACTGCGTAACTGAGCCAGCGCAGATGTCAATATAGCATTTGCATTATTACTGCTGGACCTTATTTCACTTCCAATAACTCTCTAATAATTGAAAAAAAAATTGACTTTCTAATTTAACATTATTTTTGATAAGGCAAACTTTTGGTACGAAACTTACCTATTGGAATTCTTATAATAGAATTAAGGTATTTGTGAGAAAAGAGTGAAATTTTAAATAAGTTAGAGTAAAAATTTTGGTTATTATATTTCAAGCCTTTCTGGCCGACGCCTGATAAATTTATTTTAAATAAAATCATATTGAAATAATAGTCCACAGTTGTGTTTTACTCTCACACCCGCAAATAATACCCATATCAATCTGTGTCTCCACTCAGAAACAAAAGCCGCCGCTCGCCAATTCAACATCATATAAGTTTCTGAATTGGGGTCTCACAATTTCCAAAAGTGAGATTATTTTGAGATAAGAAAGAACAAGTCATAATACGGCACTATTTATGGATAGCTTTTTGCTTTTGTTTCTGATCCACAAAAGTTTGTATTAGACTGGCTCAATTTTTCTAATCATTTCAACAGCTTTCATCCATGAAACTTTTCACTTCTATTACTGATTTAACTCATAAAGAGTGTCATAGGTAATGAGCGATTTTCTGCAAGAGTCCATAAAATGTCTAAAGCGTTTGGTGTAGAAGTAGGATTCCCTTACCAAGAAGACCTCGAAGCATATAATTTACAGAACCAATGTATTTTTTCACTTTGAGGCAAACGGAACATAAATAGTGCGCGTTTTTAGGGAGTCTACAAAATGTCTAGAATATTCAAAAGCTGCGGAAGACATATACTTACATTGGGGTAAAAGTGGAATTCCCTGTATGAGCATACATATTATAAATTGCTAAACTCATAATTTTTTTAGATTCAAGGTAAACCAAACACATGAATAGTGCCTGCCTACGGATTCTACATTATGTTTAAAGTATAGGAGAAGTATAAGTTGTTCTACAATTAATAAGGAAATATAGTCCAAAGTGTCTTTTATTGAGGAACATTTGGCACATAATAACTTCCATCCAAAACCTCAATCTGTATTCCTTTATGTGCCTATGGATAGTTTTTAGACTATCCTAACGGGTTTAAACACCCTTATTTCTTCTACTGGAATAAGCTTTCAAGATATGGGAAAGAAATCATCAGAACATGGGCGGGAATATAAATATCAAAAAACAGCCTTGTGGAAAGCGTAATAACATACAGCTCAGAAGTGTGGGTAGTTAATGACAAAACTGGAAAAGTTCGATGCAGGGGCGCCGACTACGTGGGTGCTCGGGAGCTCGAGCACCCACGAGCATAGACTTAAAAACTGAAAATCTCTAGTTCCTGGAAAACTGGTTAATTTTGTACCTCGGGTTCCTAAAATCTGGTTAACCAAATGTCAAAATAGTTACCGGCCATCGGATGTCGGTTCTGTTGGTTTTATCAAGGTTTTATCTGCAACTTTTGTCAATTATGTTTTATTTCCATATTTGCGTTCCCCAAAGTAACCGGAATTTTCAGTAAACATCTGTTGACCGATTCGGTTACTTTAGCTCTGTTCCAGCAGACATGAAAACCTTTCTAGAACGGTAATTTCCAGTCGATCAATCCATTTGTCAATTAGGAAAAACGTTCAACTTATTGAAAAATAGGTGGACAACTGGAAATTATTGGTTCTGGAACGGTTCTCATGTCTGTTGGAACAGAGCTAATGGTTAACGTTTGGTTATATTTGGACCATAGCCTTATATAGGTTATGTTCCGATATTAACTCTGTCAGTACTGAATTTACTGGACGCCGTTCCGATATTATTTTCAGTAGGGAGGTACACTGGATTCAGTCGATTTAGTACTGAATGACCACAAGAGTACCCTGTTGAAATTGGAACTTGAATTGAATTGAAACCAGTACTGGCAGTTGATATCAGAACATGGTGGTACTTTGTTTAGAAGAAGAAGAAGATGAAGAAAATCAGAAATCTTTTATGAAGAACAGCGTAAAACGCAGATTTTCGGTACATGCTGCTTGGAAAAGAATATCTGCAGGAGAGTTTTCCACACTTTACAGTAGAGTGTTTTCACAGCTATCAGACCAATACCCACTTCTACCACGTAAAAACTCCCCTCCAGCACAGCCATCATACCACTAAAGTTCGCCTTACGAGTCTAGCACTATGGAAATAATGCGGATAAAAAAATTGCAATATTGCCTATTTGACTTCCGATAAGAAATACCTTAATATTTATTTATATTATACACCTATATTTATAAGGAAAAAGTAATATTCAAAAACGTTACACGCTCGTCTATGACAGGCAGCATAAAGCTCGAAATGAATGGCGTTATGTCCCCTTGCTCTTCAGACGTCGTAGTGTTAGACTCGTAAGGCGGACTTTACCCACCTTCACTGTACCCCCTTCCGTGAAGCTCCTACCCTGAGGAGGCACTTTTTACCCACCTGCACTGTAAACCGTCTTCCGTAAAGTCCTCCATTAATCTATTTTCAAAAGGCTCTTACCCTGAGATGGTACTTTATTATATCCCTTCACTTTCTTGAAAACTAAAGAATATTTAACCAATTCTTCCATTTGTATTCGAATTCGTCAATTTTGGGGTTGGTCCGGGTCAAATCCCCAAAATTTCAGATCAAAAGCGCCGCCGATCTAGAGATTTTCCCACGGTATCGAAAAACTTCCCAGGCTCAAGTGCCCCCGGCTATCAGACCAATACCCACCCCTACTACGTAAGTGGTCCACCAGATTCACAAGCAAAATGTTATTATTGTAATAAAATTAATCTCATGGAGTTTAGAACACTATTAACGAATACGAATGCAGGAATAGTTGAAATATTCTTTAGTTTTCAAGAAAGTGAAGGGATATGGAAAGAGGAACCTCTTCAGAATAGAAGCTTTTTGACGTAGTGGAGGTGGGTATTGCTCTGATAGCTGTGAGGTGGGTATTGGTCATAAACAGGTGCATCAATTTTATTGCAATAATAAATATTTTGCTTGTGAATCTGCTAGTCTGATAGCTGGGGGCACTTGAGCCTAGGAAGTTTTTCGATACCGTGGGAAAATCTCTAGATCGGCGGCGCCTTTTGAAAATAGATTAATGGTGGGCTATGATAGCTATGCTGGAGGGGGGCTTTTACGTGGTAGAAGTGGGTATTGTTCTGATAGCTGTGAAAATACTCTACTCTTTACCCTTATAGCCGTCCTTTTTTTCCCAATTTTAGCAGACACCGCAAAAAACTTACATAAGCACCAAGCAACATTAGTTCCCGCAGCTGGAAAACGAATATGGAAAGGGGTGAATTACGTTGTTTGAAATGTATTACTATTCCCTTCTTAGACACTCGTCCGAATGTAAATTAAAGAATGCTGGTAAACGTTTTTGGGCGTGGCTTCTGGAGAAGTTTTTTCGCCCCATCCTCATAAATGCCGGTGCATGAACATCAGCACCCACGAAGTTTTCTGAAACCCGGCGCTCCTGGTTTGATGTGCTTTTGGAATGTATTTTTGGAGGCCAAAATACGGTAAATAATGGCTGTTGGAAAATGGAAGAAGGAAACGAATTCTAAAAAAAGCTAGAGAAAAGGAGTAGATATTGAACAGAGGCCTAGATGAGTAGATACAAACGAGTGGACTTTGGGAATCCGAAAAGGTTGTATATAATAAAATCTAGTTTTTGTGTCCCTTGCTTTTATTCTTTTACCTCCAGAAAAATCATTTCAAATCCACCAAAATTATTGAGTCTCCGATTGAAAAAGCTCTGACCATCACAACACACCAAAATCCATTTGGCAAATTGCTAAAGCCGCTTTTAATATCCAATTGGGCAAAGTTAAATTAGCATAAATTTCATTAGTTCGGCCGAGAACAGAGCAATTTTCTTGTTCATAGAAAACATTCAATGCTGAAACGGTATAGTGTTTATTTCACGCTAAAATTTGCCGGGGTTGGTCGATTATGGATGATTAGGAAGTATTTTTAATTAGTTTAAAACGAATATACGTGACTCATGTGATACATTATGTAATGTGAATTGCTGTTTCAAAATTGATAATTTATATATACTTACAATCTGTACACAAATGTTCATGTTATCTTAGTCTTAACTTCCCACAAAAAAACTTTCGCATTTTCGATTCCTCAACAAATTCACAGATCATTATATCACATACTATTCACACAGTTTACTATTATTCATCAGTTGAAAATGTGCTTTTTTCACTTTTATTTACCAAAATCCCACTGTTTTTACCCTTAAAAAAAAAATCACTAAAAACTCTTTTACAACAATTGACCTGATAACGATGTCGAGTCGCGATATAGTTTGAGTTGGAAAAAAAAACACCCCGACCGCGTAACCTTGAATTTTCACGAGTTCGCCACCTATTTCGACACAAGGTACGGAAAATACTAAACTGAATAGAGCGGACGTATTTTCAGGCTGCGCCATGTTGAGCTTGCGTCCTGGAAAATGCCAGCCTTGGTGACGTCACAATCGATAGAAAAGGTGGTATGGTAGGAGAGACAGCAGGGTTTTCCTCAACTTTTCGAACGGACCCCGAAAGATCTATTTTGATATATTATTTAGGAGTTAGGATTCCGTAATTACAGCGAGCTATGATAGGGTTGATTGTTCAGAAGCTATTTTTGTTGTATTATAAGACCTACATTGGAGGAATTCGTCCACACATTTTTCCACGCATTTTTTTGACTTGCTAGCTGAATTCCTGGGGTTTCAAATTATCAGCCTCAGGAACTGATCTGTAGGAAAAGGCGAGGAAACAAGCATTTACGTCTGCTAAAAAAATCATGTAGATACTTTGAAAAGATCTATATTGATTGAAATTCACCCTAATACCTACCTTTGCTATCTCTAATCTTTTATGTTTAATATGTGAAACAATCAGTTACAGAAAATTTTGTATTTTTATTTACCTTACTTAAGACAAAAAGTTAATGATTCATCGATCGTGTAATATACCATCAATTTTTCTTAAATATACTCATCCATTGTTCTGTGTAAGTGTTACTCGTTAAAACATGAACTTATGAAAAAAAAAAAACTATGATGTTATTGTGTAACATTAACGAGGTCGCTATCAATTATTTCAATTTAAGATCAATAGCGTCTGATATACCAAACTCTAGTTTTTTTTTTCTGAAGACATACAGACAATTAACCCATGACCTATAATCAAAATCGTACATTCAAATGCATATTTTATTTGCAAAAACATATGTTACATACGGTATTTTTGTTACGTAACCTTTAAAGCTTAAGTAATTGCTCATTTCAACTAAAGAGATGAATTAAAAAAGTGATAGTTGATGTATTTTGCGTTTTACTATGCCAATTTACGTAGTGGGTAAAAGTAATTAAAATCAAAAATATAATTTTATTGTTGCAAACTAGGTAAGTAATAAGTAAGGAATTTGCTAGTTTTGTGAGTCGAAGCTACTTTTTAACATTTTTCTATATGAAATTATAAGAAAAACTTTCCCACTTTTGCCTTAATTCTATGAACTTAGGTATACTAGTTAATCTTGATTTCACTATTTCATACTCCATACATTCATATTAGGTGATTTTGCAGGTTATACCATTTCACCAATATTTGAACTTGTACAGAAAACATAATCCAGTGTCTTTTATCGACTGAGACGAAGTCTGATTCCAAATTGAATCAATTTCGTTCAAATTCGAGGTTATATCAAACATGACTTAACAATCTCATAGAAAAATCGTTAAAGTTTAATAAATATCTTGTCTTAGAGATAAATTATTTAAAAAACTCTCTTACCATTTTGAAGTTCCTCGTTCTTCCAATTTCCACAAACTTTCCTTAGGTACGCATCCCTTGCACTATCTGGAAAGGAGATTAAAACATCCTTAGTAGTTTTCTTCTCCCGAAAATGCGTTAATTTTAGGTTAATTTCAATTTACTACTAAGGTACCTTTTGGATTTTTGAAAACTTTGGAAAATTATAATTTTCAGAATTCAGGGTTTCTAAAATCTGAAAACCCAATATTTGCAAAGTAACCCATTGCTCAGGATATTAAGGTCAAATCCAAGAGTAATCGTAGAAAACAGAAAATATGCAAAAAGAGGGTTTAGGATCTGAAAATTTCAAGAATCTGGAAGGATTGGAAGGTCCTGAGAGAAGATCGAGGAAATTTTCGCACTTTTCCTTCAGAATCTTCTACAGTTTTGCAAGAGAAACCATATTTTCAGATTCAGTCAAGTTAGTCCCCCCCATAGAAAAATTCTGGATGAAAATAATCCCATAATTTTGCTCTCATTTTGCTCCATTTTGCTCCACTAATTTCGATTTTTGCTCTATTACAGTGGAGAGACTGTGGCCTATTAGGTGGGGGGGGGCTGAATTAACGCTAGCCCCCCCCCCCCCCCCCCCCAGTGAAAATTCAGAAATTTGAACATGCTCATTTTGTTCTCCGAGTTTTGCTCCATTTTGCTCCATAATCGGCGAGTTTTGCTCCATTACCAGGAGAGACCTACAGAGCTCCCAAGAATCTCTTCTAGCCCCCCCCCCGGTAAAAATTTTGTAATTTGAACATGCTCATTTTGTTCTCCGAGTTTTGCTCCGTTTTGCTCCTTTATCGGCGAGTTTTGCTCCATTACCAGGAGAGACCTACAGAGCTCCCAAGAATCTTTCCCAGCCCCCCCGGTGAAAATTTTGAAATTTGAACATGTTCATTTTGTTCTCCGAGTTTTGCTCCATTTTGCTCCATAATCGGCGAGTTTTGCTCCATTACCAGGAGAGACCTACAGAGCTCCCAAGAATCTCTTTTAGCCCCCCCCCCCCCCCCCCCCCCCCCGGTAAAAATTTTGTAATTTGAACATGCTCATTTTGTTCTCCGAGTTTTGCTCCGTTTTGCCTCATAACCGACGAGTTTTGCTCCATTACCAGAAGAGACCTACAGAGCTCCCAAAAATATCTCCTAGCCCGCCCCGGTGAAATTTTTTAAAAAAGACCTACAGAGCTCCCAAAAATCTCTCTTAGCCCACACCCGGTAAAAATTTTGAAATTTGAACATGCTCAATTTATTCTCTGAGTTCTGCTCCGTTTTGCTCCATTATCGGCGAGTTTTGCTCCATTACCAGGAGAGACCTACAGAGCTCCAAAAAATCTCTTCTTGCCCCCCAGTAAAAATTTTGAAACTTGAAATTACTCATACCGAGTTTTGCTCCATTTTGCACTAACAGGGCTTCTTGTGGGCTCTGTTTGTCTATTTGCACCAAAGTTACACCAGTCTGCACCAAATGCACCAAAAAGTCAGTTTGTCTCTGTCAGACCCATACAAAAAAATATATAGGGATAAACCTTGGATAAACAAAAACAAACACGTTTGGTGTAGAAAGCGTCGGTTGGTGCTTTGTTGGTGCGAACTCTTCACTGCCATTATACTCAATGCGCTTTGGACTCAAACGCTTGAAAATCAGTTACAGGTGCATCAGGAAAAAGAGGCGAGGATAATGAGAGCAGCTTCAGAGCGCCTGAGTCCTTAAAGCGTGGTACCGGAAAGCAGTTCAGGTAATGGAGCAGAGCTCGCCGATCATGGAGCAAAACGGAGCGAAACTCAGAGAACAGAATGAATATGATCAAACAAAATTTTCACTGGTGTGAGAAAGCTACGAAAGATTCTTACGAGCTCGTAGGTCATTCCCGATAATGGAGCAAAACTCGCCGATCATGGAGCAAAATGGAGCAAAACTCGGAGAATAAAATGCGCATATAGAAACTCCAAAATTTTCACACGTGTTGCAAGGAGAGATTCCTGGGAGCTGTGTAGTTCATTCCAGAGCTGCTTTCGGGTGCAGTGTGCAAAGCACCTCGAGCATTTTAAGCCCATTATACTCAATGCGCTTTGCACTCGAACGCTTGAAAATCAGTTACAGGTGCATCAAAGGAAACAGGCGAGGAAAGTGAGAGCGTCAAACTCGCCGGAGGACTTTGGACCAACTCGAAAGCTCGATCATGGTGCAAAATGGAGGAAGACTCGGAGAACACAAGAGTAATAAAAGTTTCAAAATTTTCACTGGGAGCAAGAAGAGATTCTTTGGAGCTCTGCAGGTCATTCCTGGTAATGGAGCAAAACTCGCCGATAAAGGAGCAAAACGGAGCAAAACTCGGAGAACAAAATGAACATGTTCAAATTTAAAAAAATTCACCGGGGTGAGGGGGGGGGCTAGGAGAGATTTTTGGGACCTCTGTAGGTCTCTCCAGGGTCCCTATTCGTGAAACAGGGGAGCAACGTTCCCAGGAAAACGAGTTTTCCATCTTTCTCAATGATATGCAAATGACAATATGAATATAACACAGACGGCACACTCGTTCTTCTGGTAACGCTGCTCCCCTGTTTCAAGAATAGACCCACTGGTAATGGAGCAAAACTCGCCGATTATGGAGCAAAACGGAGCAAAACTCGGAGAACAAAATGAGCATGTTCAAATTCCAAAATTTTTACCGGGGGGGAGCTAGGAGAGATTTTTGGGAGCTCTGTAGGTCTCTCCTGGTAATGGAGCAAAACTCGCCGATAAAGGAGCAAAACGGAGCAAAACTCGGAGAACAAAATGAGCATGATCAAATTTCAAAATTTTCACTGGGGGGGCTGGGAGAGATTCTTGGGAGCTCTGTAGGTCTCTCCTGGTAATGGAGCGAAACTCGCCGATGAAAGAGTACAAAATGAGCATGTTCAAATTCCAAAATTTTCAAATTTTTACCGGGGGGGGGGCTGGGAGAGATTCTTGGGAGCTCTGTAGGTCTCTCCTGGTTCTGGAGCAAAACTCGCCGATTATGGAGCAAAATGGAGCAAAACTCGGAGAACAAAATGAGCATGATCAAATGTCTGAATTTTCACTGGGGGGGGCTAGCGTTAATTCAGCCCCCCCCCACCTAATAGGCCACATAGTCTCTCCACTGTAATGGAGCAAAAATCGGAATTAGTGGAGTAAAATGGAGCAAAATGGGAGCAAAATTATGGGATAATTTTCATCCAGAAATTTTTAATGGGGGGGCTAACTTAACTGACCCATATTTTCAGGAGAAAAAAACTAGTGAATTTATGAAGTAGGTACCTAATGACTAGGGATTTTGGACCTGTAGGTTCCAAGAATTTTGTATGCAAAAAAAAAAAACAGGAATTTCTGATTTTGAATTGAGAAATCAGAAATCCCAGAATTTTTCTGAATAGAAAAACAATTAGGAACTCTTCTTTTGAGATAAGTAGAAACCTTTCAAAATGATGTCTCAGAATTCAGGATTTCAGCTTTCTAAAATCTATAAAATATTTGATAAACCAATCTTTTTGCAAAGTACCTAACTCAGGGCTCAAGATATTAAGGTCAGATCCTAGAATATTCGTCAAAAACAGAAGATTTGTAACAAGAGGGTTCAGGATCTAAAGGATTCAAGAATCTGGAAAAAACGGAAGGTCCTGAGAAGCTTCTTAGAACAAATCTAGGAAACTTCCTCACTTATCTTTCAGAATCTTGAGGTCTTAATTACAGTTTTGCAAGGGAAACCATATTTTTAGAAAAAAAAAAACTTGTGAAGTAATAACTCGAGATTTTGAACCTGAAGATCCTAAGAATTTTTTATGAATAATGCAGGATTTCGGGTTCGGGTTTTAAAAATTCTGAAAAACCAATATTTGCATAGTAGGTAACTCAGGGCTCAGGTCAAGATACCAGATACCTATTAAGAACAGATCCAAGAGTATCTATTTAGCTTCACCAATACTCTTTTGTAAACGATCGTGAAAAATAATCTTTTGACTTGGATTTTTGAAAACTTTGAAAAATCACAACCTGTTTTCTATTATAGCATAGTACATTTTAGTACTTCAAACAGAAGAAACTTTTCAAAATCAGGTTTTATTGTTAAAATGTAACTTGGACCCAAAAAAAATGTGAATATCAGACTCTCTTGCTACTTCTGCCTCTAAAATTAGACAATAGAAACATTCAAAATCATTGTTTTTAAAACACGAACTTCACCTGTAGGTACCATTTTTATCAAGTTCGGACTTTTGGGTACCTACATCTGAATGCAAGTATTAGTCCCAAAAAAAATTAAATATTCACGATTAAAAAATGCAAAATCCATCATGGCGAGATGCATATCGGTTGCATAAAATCCAATTTGCATCCCGATCCGTTTGGATGCGTGTTCTAATCTCTTCTTTTAGCATTGCGGAGGGGTACCGCGGTACCACGCCATCCTCCCAAGTATAAATACCAAATCCGAATCATTAAAATTTATCACAGTCGTTCCTCTTGTACGGTCAACGAGAAGTAAAAAATATTTAAGCAAAATGATGAAATTGGTAAGTGGACTTTAAGGAACCCATTTACTATTCATGTGTCACTTATATAAAGACGATTGCAAAAGTTGCAACTTTGTATTTGGCCAAAGTAATTACTTATTATTATTTTGAAAAATATATGAATTTAAAATTTAAACACAAATTAAACTAAAAGGTCATCAGCAATGATGGGACTTTTCAATCATAAATTTAATTACCTATATTTAGGTTTAATACTAATTGCCTTGTTAATTTTCTCTGATATTTTTCTCTTTTTTTGGTACCTACCTATTTTTTGTACATAATATAATTTTTATTACATAAATGGTTTTTGCTTTTAATTATAACATTAATTGTTAGAGAGTTTAGGAAATTACTTTTTATTATGCTCATTTCTCCAAATATTTATTCTCGTTTTCGTCATTTCGCTTATAAACTTTTTTGTAAAATCCTGTGCAAAACCTCCTCCATTCGATTTTCCATACTTCCAATAAAGTGCAGCATATTTTGTTTAGCAAAAATGTGACTAGCGCTAATTGAAATTCATTGGATTAATTTTTAAATAAAAATTGAAATGAGAACGATTTTTCGTTCACAAAATCAATGTTGAAATATTTCTCCTTGTTGGTTTTTTCTGGTTAGTGGTTTTTTCTTTATTCCATTGAAAAAATCCATAAACCGCAAGTAAGTACCTACCAATCATTTAATTATTATTCTGATGAGCATACCATACCCCCAACCATAAATGGAAGATTCAAAAAGATACTAAAGTAGGTATGCAATAATTTCCAGGTCGTTACGTGTTAATATCAACTATTGTAATCTTCAAACGGATACTTTCTGACCATCACCTTTTCTTTTCTACAATTTGCAGTAAAATTGCAATAAATTCGACCTTCATGCCCACACACCCACATGAATTCTCATTGACCGATGCCATTAATATGTGCATTAAATAAATCCGAAATGGCAAATTCGTGCTTGATCATCATCTTTGTACCTATCATCGTCAGATATTCAGATAATAAGTATTTGTTTCGTTTTAATGACGAAAAGATGGTGTTTATAGATACCATTGATCAATATGTAACGTGAATCACCTTTGATTGCTATAGACAAAGTTGCAATAATTAAAATTAAATGAAGATTGTTCTATCATATAAATGTAATTTTAACATCCTATGGAAATCTAAAGTATTTTGAAGTTTTTTAAACTATAACAACATTGCATATCTACGGATGTAAGGGTATAGAAAAAATAAGGCACACACATATAAATACGTAAAATAAGAAGTGAAAGGAAGAATAAGACATTGAAAATAAAATTTAAGAAAATTCTAGTCGGTTAATTATTATTCTCATTATCGAGATATTATGTGAGTGCCAACTTATCTTATACTTCTTATTGTTAACTAGGGATTATTAATGTTAATGGAAACAAAATTATCTTTCCAGATTGTCTTATCTGCTCTTATAGTTACTACGGTGCTAGCTCAAAGAGGTGGTGGAGACCCAAAACAAGCCCAAATAATCAGATCCGAATCCGACATTCAACCAGAAGGCAGCTACCAATTTGCGTAATTAACCCCATCACCTACAAACCCCAAACCTTGATTTAACACAAATTACAATTATTGCAGCTACGAAACCGACAACGGCATTTCCGCTCAAGAGCAAGGGAACATCCAACCGCAAGGGCCCGAACAAGCCCTCAAATCCGTCCAGGGACAATTCCAGTTTTTGACTCCGGAAAACGAGCAAATTCAAATTTCTTACGTGGCCGACGAGAACGGTTATCAGCCGACCGGAAACGCTCTGCCAACTCCGCCACCGATTCCGATTGCCATTCAAAAAGCTCTGGAATATATCGCCGCTCATCCAGAAAAAGCCGAACCACAACAACAACCTGGAAGGAGATTCTAAGAATGTGTGTTAAATATTTTTGTTTGTTGTAAATAGTTCAGTTGATTAAATAAAATGTGTCTTATTAAAGTAGTTTAGCTTCAAAGTAGGTATTAACTTTCGATAAAGAAAGGATGGTATTAACGACTCTCCAAAGTAGGTACTAATAAAAATGATTTATAACGTTGTAACGCAGCTAGCACAATAGTTTAGCGGAGTAGTTAAAATTATTAATTGCTTTCCTAGGGACTTAATGTAGTCCAGTTTGAGTGTTAAAATTCATCGTTTATGGACCGAGATTCACTGATTTCTGGAAATGGTTCTTTACATCTGATGATATTTAATTAGAAAGTCGATCAGTGTTGCCAGGTCTACTGATTTATTAGTAGATCTACTGATTTGGCCACTGGCCTACTGATATACTGATATTGATGTAAATTCTACTGATAACATCAGAAGCTCATAAAATCGAAAAAAAAAAAATAAGGGTCCGAATTTAAAACAATAAAGTTGATGATGGTCGCCCAAAGACGAAACGTCGAATCTGAAATTTGGTAGCAACATCTTGTAAAGGGGAAAAAGTGAACAATGATGAAGTGACATTTATTTTAAAATTGCTCTTCAAATAGACTCAGGAAAAAATAAAAATGATTTTGCAAAATTTCGGTTTTTTCCAAATATCTTCGGAAGTATTCGGAATTTTTCAAATTTCAAAACGGCACTTTATTGGTCATAAAATTGTGCAACTTTGCCATAATTTAACTGACCTCGTAACTCTTCATTATAGTTTCCGATATCTCAATGGTCACCCTCGAATTTGGGATACCCTGTACAGTAAGACTTTATACAAACAATTTTTTCACTTAAGAACTAAATTGAGGAAGAGTTGAAATTTTGAGGACTTTTTCTTAAAGGCTCAATGTTAAAAATACTGAAAACTCAAAGCCATTGAGTTATTATTAATAGACTTATGATTTTTGAAAATAATGATGTTTTGTAAAGTAAGACTTTACAAACAATTTTTTCACTCAAATACTAAAGTGAGTGGAGAGTTGAAATTTTGAGGACTTTTTCCTAAAGATTCATGTAAAAAATACTGAAAACTGAAAGCGATTGAGTTATTATTAATGGAGTTATGATTTTTTGAAAATAATGATGTTTTGTAAAGTAAAACTTTACAAACAATTTTTTCACTCAAAAACTAAAGTGAGTGGAGAGTTGAAATTTTGAGGACTTTTTCCTAAAGGTTCAATGTAAAAAATACTGAAAACTCAAAGCGATTGAGTTATTATTGATGGACTTATGATTTTTTTTAAATAATGATATGTTTTGTAAAGCAAGACTCTACAAAAAAATTTTTCACTCAAAAACTAAAGTGAATGGAGACTGGAGAGTTGAAAATTTGAGGACTTTTACCTAAAGATTCGATGTAAAAAATACTGAAAACTCAAAGCGATTGAGTTATTATTAATGGAGTTATGATTTTTTGAAAATAATGATATTTTGTAAAGTAAGTTAGTTCAAAAACTACACGTTTCAGGTGAATATCTTATTTGAACAATTCAACAGTATATTGGTAAGTTGATGGGTGCCAAACTCGCTGCGCTCGTCCCGTAGAGGTTCACCCATAAAATCCGCAATAATCCACTTATTTGTACTTGAACAATAATTTATTATATAAAGTCAAAATTTGTAAGATTATGATTATTCACTTTTTGTCAATTCGCCTTTCAACAGGAATTAATAATGTTACTAAACTAGTAACATAATGTGACAAGTTATTCAAATACAAATGAGTGAATTGGTATTGAACTTATGGGTGGACCTCTGCCATCTATTCATCAATAGAGAGTTCTCGTGCCGTCCAAATTTCAAATACTGTAACGTTATTTGACAAGCATGACAGTTCTTACGGTATTAGCGTTAGCGTTAACTAACGGAACTTAGCGGATGCCTTACCGTAACGCTATGCTATGTCAAAACTAGTTTACGCTCCATTTATGTCTGCAAAAACAGCAACGTTTAATAATTTCTCCATAAAAAAACACCAAGGGAAAATTAATCAAGCTCAGGAATCTTCAGGAATAATGAAAGTTAGAAAACACACAAAAAAAGTTGAGTTAAGGTGGGTTCTAACAAAAAATTTAGCTTAACTTAACCTAACCTAAGACTTAATTTAAATTCATTTTTTGGCATTCATAAGGAACTTTAATTTAATCTAAGATTTAAATATTCTGCCAATGATACGTATGACGTATGTGAAAATTCGCGTTTGCGCAATGCCCTAAATCTACATTTAATTTGAGAAATTTAAAGAAAAGATAAAAGTTGGTGAACTTTTTGTTAAGTTAGGTTAAATCTTGAGTTAAGTGGAGCGGTATGAACGCCGTCGTAAGTCTGCATATTCCGAACTTCTTAGGTTAGGTTAGTTTAAATGTTGAGTTAAATTAAATTTTCTGTTAGAACCCACCTTTAGATCACTCAACTCAGCTGTCAAAATGTAAACAGGATAAGGGATTAGAGGATTTATAATGTGTCTCCGTATCCGAGAACTATAAAATACCATGTGAAATACCGTATTGTTAGCGGTCCGTATTATAGCGTACCGTGTGAAGCACGAGAACTTTCTAATCTGTTGTTTAATTACGATACTAACCTGACTCACTCGAATGTGAGTTATTCTCATTAGTTTAAAAACTGGTACGTTTCAGACAGTGGCGTAAATACGGAGGGGGTCCAAAAAAACGACTTCATTTTCTAACTCCTGTTCACAATCCGATGTCCACAGGTGTAGGTAAATTTATCACCTTTCCTTATCAAATAGCATTGAAAGGTGATATTACCTGTACCTACCTGTGGACATCGGATTGTGAACGGATGATCCGCGTGTGGCTAAATTCAGCTGGTGTAGACACCGTGGTGGAATGGTAGAACAAGCAGTGTTGTTGAATTGAACAGGGTTTGACAAGCTGTGGTTTGGCATTGGCATTAGTGAATTTTTAACACCGCATCCGTGGCGGTGCACCATTTTGGTGAATTTAGCAACACGCGGAATATATGTTACTACTCATTTACCTTTACCTGCTCTAAGGTCAGAACTAATCTGTGGTCAGAACGTTAATTTTCTACCTTGAAAAGGTATAAAGTCAAAATTGTCACAATTTTGGCATTAACGGCTTGTTAAAAAAGTCAGGTGACTGCGGATAACACAGTTCCAATTTACAAATCACGTGCCTGTCAAAATTTCGGAGCAAATCGACGAAAAAGATGACAAAAACGAACTCGGCCATTTTGTCTTCAGTTTTAGAAATACAATGTCAAGAGCAGGTTGAATGGTTTGGCATCGTTATCTATTAATAAAGAGTTTGTACCTTCAGCTCAAGATGTTATGGGCCACTTAGCCAAAAAGCCAAGAAATGGAATTTATTCTTTAGTTTCAGAGCCCTGGAATTAAAAAATAAATTCCCAATATAACGGATATGAACTTTTTTATTTAAATTTAAAAGTTCGTGAATAATGGGAATTTTGGAAGAGAATGTATTTTTAATAGTTAGTCTCGGTTGGTCAAATTGCCGCCATTTTATTCCTTTTTATCCTGTCACAAATGTTTGCCTTTGGCGAATTCGCCTGCACCGCTGAACCTGGACCCCCCCTCCAGGGTGAAAAGCTATCTACGTCACTGGTATCAGGTGAATATCTTATTTGAACAATTCAACAGTATATTGGTAAGTAGAGGTCCACCCATAAGTTCCGCAGCAATCTACTTATTTATATTTGAACAATAACTTATATAAAATCAAAATTTGTAAGATTATGATTATTCACTTTTTGTCAATTCGCCTTCCAACAGGAATTAGTAATGTTACTTCACCAAACTAGTAATATATTGTGACAAGTTATTCAAGTACAAACGAATGAATTGTTACGGAATTTATGGGTGGACGCAGCCATCTATTCACCAATGTGTTGTTCAAGTACAAGTACAATACTAACCTGATTCACTCAGTTATTAATTTTTCTCATTAGTTCAAAAACTACTAGGTATACATTTCAGGTGGGTGTTTTTTTGAACAATTCAACAGTATATTGGTGAGTAGATGGCTGCGGAACTCGCTGCGCTCGTCCCGCAGAGGTTCACCCATAAGTTCCGCAATAATCCACCTATTTGTACCGGGTGTTTTTTTATATATTGACACTCCACCTACCTCCTTTACCTTTACAAGTTGAAAAAAGGTGTAAATACAAAAGCTGTACAGTTTTGGCTGAATTTTTAGAATCCATCGTCAGAAACAAAATTTGAATGTCAAAAATGTGAAATTTTGCATGCTTCCAGGTTTTATCAAATGGGATATCCTATATTTCATTCTATATTTTTGAAGAGCACAATGCCCCGATTCAAAAAATATATAGTTTGTCTATATTTGGCTGAAAAGTCTCTCATATATTCGGCTCCAAAAATTGTAAAAATACTAATCTACTACTGATTTTGTGAACCATTCTGCCTGTATAGGTGAAAGCTGCAGGTAAAATTTGATGTACTTGGTTTCTCTGATGGTATTTTTAAAATTTTCAGAACCAAATATGTTGGAGCCAGCTCAACCAAATATAGACAAACTATATAGTTTTGGAATCGGGAAATTGTACTTTTCAAGAATATAGAACCAAACATAGGGCATCCCATAAGTAGTACATATTTAATAGGAATATCTTATGTGTCCTAATCTTAATAAGCTTTTTCTCATAAGTGGTATGTCGATCAAACTACGAATGAGAGAACCATACGAAAATATACAAAGCTGTATGATTATTCAAAAAACTGTACATAGGATTCATAGTCTACTTCAATGCATAGGGTGCGGTAAAGTGCTACTTTCCACTTACAAATAAGTACGGTAAAGTTTACTTTAACAGACGCTCGTTGGTACAAATTATTCTTAAAAATTCGCTATGACGTCACGTTTCATACGACTTTGCGTTCGAACAAGGCTTAAATTTCACCCAAGGGTGAGAGTGGGTGTATGGTCACGTGGTCAGAAGAGTATATTTCGATTGACCAATGAAGTGCTATTTATAGAACAGTTTTGCGTCACTAAAGTAGCACTATATTTTAATGTAAAATAAAGTGCTACTTTATTGCTTATCTGGATTACTTGACCGCCTGCCAAGGTGAAACAGGTACCTATATCCCAATTTTAATTTTTTCGTTCAATTTTTTTGAATTTTTAATAAAAACCAGTCGCAATCGTACATGAACTCATGTATAATATTGACTCATTATTTATCATAAAATTATTCTCGCCTACTTTATGAACTTGTTATATATATAGCTATCTGGTGTGTTTTCGAACGCACTGGGGTTTAATTATAACCAATAATGTGATAAAAACATACCATTTAGAACCAGGATTATGTGCATTTCATTTATCTTTTTGTACCTATGATCAAATTTTGAGAAACGGAAAATGGAATAAATAAATCTGTCATAATATAGAAAAGTTTAGATTTTTATTTACGACTAATGTATAATGTGCGTATTATATTTGTTATTTTGGCAGTATAATGACATATGTTATTCCTCCAGGGATTAATGACGAGTAGCGGAATTAATGGTCATTATTCCACAAAAGTGTCAGTGTCAAACGTGCAGTGCTTGTGGATTTGTATTGAAAATTATGAGACGGATGAAATTTGTTCATTGAAAATCTCAATTAAATTAATTTGTCGTAAATAAAGTAGAGTATACTACTCGCAATAATGGCTATTATTCCCTCGGAATGTTACTCCCTCGCCGCTAACGCGGCTCAGTTCGTAATAATCCTCGGGAATAATAGCTATCATTATTGACTCGTGGTATAATCTACTATAAATAAGAAAAAACTGACAAGAATGGCAGGAGTAGACTGGATTTCGAACGCACTCATGAAGCTTATTTTATGCTACCAACCGAGAGATGGCGTCACCAAACAAAGGAAAAAGGGCGCACATATATCAATTTTTACCCTTTATTTTTGAATTTAATAGATAAAATATTGCTATTATTATCCTCTAGCACCTGTAAAGTACGATTTTAGTCTTATAGAGTAATTAACTTTCACAATATTTTGTAGAAATCTGTATTACCGAACCAAAAAAAAAAGAACTGTGACTGGACAATCAATACTAACCTTGAATTGAAAAAAACACAGTAGGAAGAGGTTTTATTTTTCAATTAATCAAATAACATTCTTTGAAAAAAAAAAGGAGATTCAAATAAATACTGACTCTGTGGAGTTTTTGAAGAGTTTAAGGTAATCTACTGCTTTGCTATAACAGGTGAGACTTAGCTTTATCCATATTTTGAATGTAAACTCTTTGTTTTATGTTATTTTGTATAGTTTTTCCCATAAACAATAAATACATCAATAACTTATTTGTTTAATGAAACAGTAAACGGTTTTTGTGTTTTATAAACCATAATTATTCTATAATACAGGCCTCAAGCCTATAATCATTTCTTAAGGATAGGAGGAACTTTTCTTATTGAGCAATACAAAAGGCAAATTTATGTCTTAAATTTAGGATTGTGACTGAGACAAAATGTCTACACAATTTGTAAGAGGCAGTAATAGCCCCAGACAGCCACCAAACCCCCAACGCATACAAAGCTTACTCGACGAGAACGGCCATCTGATTCAAACAATCCAAGACTACCAGAGCAAAGGCAAATGCCAAGAAGTAGTCCAATACCAAACCCAGCTGCACCGAAACCTGGTCTTTCTAGCTACAATAGCCGACAACGCCCAGAATGTGAATTCTCTTTTACCAGCAAGTATTTTCAATACAACTCACAAAGCATTTTGGTAAAATTGAAATTATTATAGATGATTCAGTCTAGTGCTCCTAACGGACCACCACCAGCAGGTCAACCGCCACCAGGCCCTGGAGGACCACCCCCACCAGGTGGGCCACCTCCCCAGCAACCAGTCCATGGTCCTCCGCCACCTCAACAGCCCGCCCAAGAGCCTCAACACATGAGCAACTACAACCATCAGCAGCAACCTCCTCCGGGAGGCTACAGACAACCTCCTGGACCGCCTCAACAAGGCAGGCCTGGTCCTAGTCCTACTGGACCACCACCACCTGGACCTCCTGGTAAATACCTAGCATTTTTTTTAAATGGAACACCCAGTTAATTTTTAATTTGTTTAATAATGTTTTATTCCGATTGCAAAATATTGCTCATCTGTGGTTGATGCGTGTGAACATCTTTACACTGTACACCATATTCGATCAATGTGTCCCACTAATCAAAATTTATAAAAGAACATACCCTGTCTGGTATACATCTGAGATAATTGAAAATATCAAACTTAAGGCACACATTAACAAAAAATTAAAACACATCTCACCATCTTAAAACTGAGTTCTCAAATCTTAGAGCTAAAATAAAACATGACATCGATACAGCCTATAAAAATTACTTGAACAGATGTGAAAGCAATATTAGGTTTGATCCTGTCCGGTTTGGGTCTTTTGCCCAGTCAAAACGAAGTAACTCAGGTATACCTAATACAGTAAAATATGAAAGCCATGAATATACTAAAGGTCAGGATGTTGTTGATGCATTCACAAATTTTTTTTAAAGTGTTTATCTTCCACCTTCGAACTCTCCAATGCCCAGCCTACACTTGCACAAGGGCCAGTTGGAGTCCCTAGTTTCCTCGTTAAAGACTGTAGGTTTGCCCTGCTTCATCCACTGTCGAAGATCCATAATTTATGTCTTAAAGTTGGTGTATTTCCAGATTGCTGGAAGGCAGCAAGAGTAAAGCCTATATTTAAAAAGGGAGACAGTAGTTCAGTTGAAAATTACAGACCAATTTGCCTACTCAGTGTTTTTGCCAAGGTCTTCGAGATGGCTGTTTATGATATGGTCTTCTCTAAGGTTAGTTCACTAATTATGCCACTTCAACATGGCTTTTTTGCTGCTAGAAACACAACAACTTATAGGTGGGCGGCAGAGGCCCATTTTTCGTTCAGTAACCCAATATTTTGGTATAACTTATTGAAACCCACACCATCTTATTTATTAGATCATAATTTTGGTCGAGACAAAAGTTACGTCACAAAAAGGGAAAAACGAGGTTCAAAAATCGTATACCATCAATATTTTTACTATGAGCCTACGGAAAAGCCATTTTTCACACACCTTGACGTGCGGAAAAAAAAAAATTCCACTCTAGGTGTAAAAAAAATTCCGCAAGCCAATGCGTGCGGAAAATGGCGTTTTTCTCACGCTTGTAGGAAAAATTGTTCAATCAAATTTTTCTGCACTTATTAGGAAAATACCTATTTCCTAAGAGCCGTGCAAAAAATGAAAAAATTGAAAATTGTCGCGGCAGTGCGAAAAGCTCATTTCCGTGAAGAAAAGGACTACTTTGCGAACTAATGCGCAAAATTCTTACTGCACGTGTTATAAATAGATAACTATTAAGTTTCAATAATGCATATTTATAATATTGTATCCTAGATACATATTTGCTGACCGATTTTCTTTTTTCAGGGATTGCAAGCACTGAAAATAACGTCAGTGTTGAGCTGAAAAAATGAAAATTTAGCTACCGGACGTCTGCATAGTGAGCACGTAGAAGAGGAAGTAAAATCCATAAAATATACAGAGTTGATATTTTTTCAAAAAACCTCGGACACGTCGATTTTTATTTTAGTGGCCGTTTTTTTGATGATAATATCATGTATACAGGGTGACCCAAAAACAAGTTATGACAGCTAACTTAATTGTTTTTAATAAAAATACCATTTTTTTATTTCATTTTCAAATTCTACCTTTAATTCTATGCACCTATTTTATGTATCATGTCCTATCGCTATCTTCAACTGTTTCAGAAATATTGACAGTGGAAAATTTACTTTCTTGCAACTTTGGTGGGCATAAAACTTAAACGGTAAATTTTAGAGCATTTTCAATCATGGATTAAATTCAAAGTTGGCGTCAAATGATAGTTTATGGAGAACTAAGACAAGAATCTATGATCGGCTTTGCTCTAAAATTAACCGTTCAGGTTTTACAGCCTGTCAAAATTGCAATTAAGTGAATTTTCAACTGTCAATATTTCCGAAACAGTTAAAAATAGGTATAGAACATGATACATAAAATATATAGGTATTGGAAAATAAAATAAAAAATTGCTGTTTTCATTAAAAAAAATAAAGTTAGGTAGCTGTTATTACTTGATTTTGGGTCACCCTGTATACATTATAATATCATCAAAAAAACGGCCACTATAAAATCAGCAATCGGACATGTCCGAGGTTTTTTGAAAAATAACAACCCTGTATATTTATGGATTTTATTCCAACCTTTACGTGCTCACTGTAATGGTAATATGTTATAAAATGCTATGGAAGAGATATTGAAAAAATAACCTATTTTTTACTGCAGAAGGAAAATAAATTTTGCATATGCCTAGCAGACGTCCGGTCGTTACATTTTTATTTTTTGAGCTCAGCACTGACATAATTCTCACACATTGCTCCTTACGACAAAAACATATAATTTTTTTTCTGGAAAACTGTTAGAGATAAACCTATCGAACTTTATATCATTGAAATCAGCAAAAACAGAGCTATCCAATGAGCTATTAATATATAGGGAGTTTCATTTGAAAATATCGGAATTTGGTCGATATCTTGAAATTGGGGTGATATAGAAAAAAACCGAGTCCGCCACTGGATTGTGCTCAAAAAAGTGTCTCCATAATGTTTTTACAGAAATGAAAAAAATTGATAAATAAAAAACTTATAGCCATTTTTCATAATAGGAGAAAATCGAAAATCACCCTGTAATAATGGTACCATTGAAGATATCGCGATACGGTATTTGACAATCGACGTTTCTCGAAAATCGATCCCATGACATCTAAGTCAATTTTCCTCTATCTGGTCTGGAAGTATGTTTTTCCTGTTGAAACACTTCAAATTGCAGCACCCTGTACAGGGTGGTCATTTTATCTTGATAACATTTGAAACTGTCATAATTTCCGAGATAATTTCTTTATTTTTGAAGTTATTTAAATAAATAAAAAAACATATTTTAGGGTTATTTTCCAAGTTTTAGATAGGGTGGACAAAAAACAAAAGACTAATATATTTTGACAGTTATGCATACAAATAACATTTTTTTAAATGGAACACCCTGTAAATTTTTAGTTTGTTCGATAATATGTTTCGTTCTGATTGCAATATATACAATACAATACAATTGAATACAATTTACTTCATATTTACATGCAGAAATGTTTTATTTATTTCAATGGAAAATTCTGTCTACCTACCTACCTTTGCAGGTAATCTGTGTAAGTAATCAATATTTTCAATTAGAATAAATAAAACATTTCTGCATGTAAATATAGAGTAAATTGTATTTAAGTGTATTGTATTGTATATTGCAATCAGAATGAAACATATTATCAAACAATTTAAAAATTTACTGGGTGTTCCATTCAAAAAAATGCTATTTGTGTGCATAACTGTCAAAATATATTAGTCTTTTGTTTTTTGTCCACTCTATCTAAAACTTGGAAACCAACTCTACAGTATGTTTTTTTATTTATTTGAATAACTTCAAAAATAAGGAAATTATGACTGTTTGAAATGTTATCAAGATAAAATGACCACACTGTACATTTTATATGTCTCATAAATGGGCTCACGGTCACACGCTGTTAGACATTATGGCTAAAATAAAATAAATAAATAAATATGCAATACAATACATTTACCTACCTTTGTAAGTAATCTGTGTAGGTAGTCAATATTTTCAATCAGAATAAATAAAATATTTCTGCATGTAAATATAAAGTGAATTGTATTTGTCATTTGTATTGTAGTATATATTATAGCCAGAATGAAACATATTATCCATCAAATTAAAAATATATTGGGTTTGCCATTTGAAAGAAGCTATTTGTGTGCATAACTGTCAAAATAAATTAGTCTTTTGTTTTTTGTCCATCTAAAGGCCCCCACAGACTGCGTTTTTGTTTGACGGTTTTGTTCGACGAGCAAATCTGGTCGAGCAAAAACGACGGATCGCAGTTGCACACAAACCTAGGTTTAGTTTGGCGAACATCAGTCATGTTGGAAAGCTTTTATTTTATTTTTTAATTTCAATAATGTAAAATTACGTAGCTACGCACCACACACCAAACAAAACCGTCGTTTCGTAGCCCACACACTTCAGATTTGTTGACATATCGAACATATCTGACGGACAAAATCAGGCGAAGCCAGATATTTGCATCGGTTTTGTATGCCAGCAAAAACGACAATTTCTCGCATACACACTTCGGTTTTGCGTTGTTTTTTCTCGACCAGATTTACTCGTCGAACAAATCCGCCCAACAAAAATGCAGTCTGTGGGGCCCTTTACAGAGGTCCATCTTATATTATCCGTTCACAATCCGATGTCCACAGGTAGGTACAGGTAAAATCACCTTTCAATGCTATTTGATAGGGAAAGGTGATAAATTTACCTGCACCTGTGGACATCGGATTGTGAACAGGATATATATGGAAAACAACTTCACAGTATGTTTTTTTATTTATTTAAAAAATTTCAAAAATAAAAAATGACAGATTAAGTGCCGGTACTTTTGCTCTCATTTGACAGCCGTTAAAAAGAATCAGTGGTTTGAATGTGTTCTAACCACATCATACTTATAGACCTTGGCCCATGCAAAACTTTGACGACGTATCAAATTCGTTAATCCAGAGCAAAAATATCGGCCCTAGGTGTCGGCACTTTTGCTCTCATTTGACAGCCGTTAAAACTAATCAGGGATTTGAATGTGCGCTAACCATATCATACTTATAGACCTTGGCCCATGCAAAATTTTGACGACATATCAAGTTTGTTAATCGAAAGCAAAAGTATCGGCCCTAAAATGATCACACTGTACGTACATAACTAATTGTGTGTTTAGCACCGCATCCAGGTTATCCGCAAAGGGGATATCAGCAACCTGCTCAGTATCCTAATCCTAACCAGTATCCACCACAAGGACAAGGCTATCCTCCTCAGGCGCCTCCTCAAGGGCAGTATCCGCCTCCAAATCAGCCGCCTGTTTATCCACCAAATAGTCAAGCGAATTATGGACAACCGCCTCCAAGTAGCGGCTATAACAATTATCAACAACCAGGTAAAGGGTCTTAAAAAAAAAAACAATCGAAGATTGCTTTGATTAGGAAAACGTATGATGCATTATTGTTTCTTTATTGGTCAGGATTTTTGACAAGACATTTTGACATTAAAGCTCATTGATAAAATTAAAGGAAAATATTGCTAAGACTTAGGTTTAAAAAACCATAGCAATCTTTGATTGGTTTTTTTTCTAAGACCCAAGAGATTTTGTGTCTAAATGATTGAAAAATTGATAAAATCACCCCAAATTGCTTAACGCGATTTTATTTCTGGAACTATAAGTACAAATGAGCTGAAATTTTCAGGAATTGTAGTCGTCTAGTAAAATAAGAATCACTGAAAATTTCAGCTTGCTGTCTATAATAGAATTTGAGATATGATTTTTCTTAGAAATTATTTGAAAAATTGGCTGTTGAAGGGGAATCGTCATTTCTATACTAACTTTATTGCTATTTCTTCTTTTAAATAATTCAGGCATGTAATTTAGCACATTATAACTTATAACTGTGCAAACAGTAATTAGTTGGTAGTTCAATCGTTTGAAAAGTAATTTCATTATTCTAGCTTATGGTAATCCTCCGCCAACAAACACCCCACCCCAAGGAGCCACCGCAACGGGTCCCTACCCTTCACCTAATGTCCCACCACCTCAATCTCAGTCACCCTATGGCGCTCCACCCAACGGACCCGCTCCCTATGCAGGACCGCCACCGCCACAAAACTATCCACCGCCGCAAGGCAATTATCCACCCCCACAGCAAGGCTACACTCCGCCCCCTGCCCAGGGAGCTCCACAACAACAAGGCCCGCCGCCACCCCAAGGACCACCGCAACCTGGGCCTTACGGACCTGGACCTGAACAAGCACCTCCACCACCACAACAAGGTAACAAACAACTTTTTTCGTTTTAAGCAACATTCTACAACTGATTTCATTGTTTCAGGTCCTCCTCCACAAAATTATGGCCAATCCAATGCGCAATCGCCACCATTTTCGTCATCGCCAACTAGCAACTCGAGTCCACCTGTAAATAGTGCTCCGCCACCTGGAAGTCCTGCAGGACCGACTCCACCACCCCCAACGTCGCAGCCCTATCTGGCTCAACCACCTTATAATCCAAATCCACAGGCAAATCCCAATGCTGGGTAAGTTAATTTTTCTTTCAATTTCAAAATTAGTTGATTTTAACTTCCCTTCTCTTGGATGGATTTCAGATACACTTCTCCACCGAATCAGTACCCACCGTATGGTCCACCTAGCGGAGCAAACTACCCTCCCCAACCCAATTATCCACCTCAACCACAATATGCTCAGCAACCCCCTCAAGGCTATCAATATCCCAGACCTCCGGCAGGTCATCCGGGCGGCCCTCCTCCACATCCAGGCCCCCCCACTCATCAAGGCCCTGCCGGACATCCGGGCCCTGCAAACCTACCTGGACCAGGAGGACATGCTGGACCTGGAGGACACCCAGCAAATCATCCAGGACCTCCTAGCCATCCAGGACCTGCAAGCCATCCTAGTCCTGGAGGTCATCCTGGGGCTGCGAATCATCCTGGACCTGGAGGTCATCCTGGGCCTGCTGGACATCCGGGACCGGGTCAAGGCCCGCCTGGACCTCCGCCTCAAGGACAGTATGCGTATAATTATCCTCCTCAGCCCAATTCACAGTAAATTATTTTTAATTAGATAAGTGAAAAATGCATCTATATTATCTATTTGTGTTTTTATTTTTAAACTAATTTCTTATTCTTTTTTTAATTGTTACTATTAGGTACTTTATTTGAATGACTTTTTTAATTAAGCCTGAAATATGTGCCGCCAAAACTTTTTTTTGGGGGATTATATTCATTTTAGATTTAAATAAATAGACATAGGTAATTTTTCTATGTAGGAATTTTAACTTTTGCCAAATGTTCAAATTATGTAAGAAGAAATCTTGTGCTTGGAATATGGATAAAAAAAAGGCATAATTTTTTGGTGTAAATTGACTTTTATTATACCTAAGAATCAGGAAATTATGGGTATTTTTTTCAAACATCAAGTCACATATAAAAATTAATATTATTGGTCCAAAAAATTAAAATTTTTCAAAGTGTTCTTCAAATAAATTGACTTCACTGATAACCAAATCAGTTTCGGAAAAATCGTCAAAATTGGATGTGTCCGCTGGACCTTTAATTTTGGGCCTGTACGGAGGCTCGACCTGTCTATTATAGATACCTTCGAAGTTTGTATGATGGAACCATCTGTGACCTTTAATATCAGCACTGCCATTTCGCAAATTTCCAAATCTAGTAGTGTAATTCAAGAAAATCAGAGTTTAATATTTAATTAATTATAGTTACCTTCTGCTGAGATCAATTTGAAGTAAATTTTTAATAAGATCAGTAAGTTCCATGGTGAAAAAAGGCGGACATTTATATTTGCAAGAGATTATTTTCTCGTATACTTTCATGGGATCGGAGGAAGTAAACGGCGGAAATCCTGCTGACATTTCGAACAGCAACACCCCATAGGACCACCAATCGACAGCTTTGCCGTACCCTTTGCTCAGAATAATTTCCGGTGCGATATACTCGGGTGTACCGCACAGAGTCCAAGTGCGCCCTTTGACAATCTAAAAGGTAATTAATTAAAGCTAATAATCCAATGGGGGTTTTTAGTTGCCTTGCAAAATCCCATGTCGGCGATTTTCAGGTAGCCTTTCATGTCGATTAAAATGTTTTCAGGTTTTAAATCACGGTAGAGGACGTCACAATAATGCAAAAATTCGAGGGCTAGTAATACTTGAGCGGCGTAGAATTTTGATAAATTTTCGTCGAATTTATGAGATCTGAAAATGCAAAATTTTATTTGGAATAATTATTTAATCGAATTATAATAATTACTTTCTTAAATGTGTGAACATTTCACCACCATTGATGAAAGGCATTAGCAAATAAATAAAACTGTTGTCTTTAAAGGAAAACTCCAATGAGATTAAAAACGGAAATCTGGCAGATTCTAGAATTTTCTTCTCGTAAAGCGTATGCTCGACTTGCTTCAGTTTAATGATTCTGATTTTGTCGATCACTTTCATTGCGTAGAACGCTCTAGTTTGCTTGTGTTGGACTAAAAACTACAAAACAGAATCAGAAATAGTCGAAAATGGTGATGGTTTTTGGCTCACCACACGTCCAAACGATCCGGTACCCAACGTTTTGGTTCGGTCAAAGTCCTTCAGGCCCTCGGTATCTGATGGTATACTTCTTTGCCATCTGTCGTAAAATTCTTTACGTAATTTTTCCAGGGTGTCTGCGTAACCGCTTTTTGTTCTTGTCCTCTAAAAGAAAAAAAAAAAACTGTATGTACACACCAGCAAAATTAGGGGAACGTACAAAATTTACACTAAGTTTTACATCAATTTTCCCTCCGCTCGATTTCGATGAATTTTTCACAGATTGTAGGTAGCTTGATTCTTCGGAAATACATATGACGTATTACCGTTATTTAATGATTCATTTTTATATCATATACCAGGGATGGAAAGAAAGTCAGTAATTTTCAGAGTTTTTTGAGACACCCTGTGGAGTGAAACTACTGGAAATTCAGAACAGTTTCATTTGACTGAAAGGGACTTTCTGATCCCCCTGTATATTTGCGACCATTTTTTTCACAATAAATTGATCGGTAAGAGGTAAAACTGCGAACATGCAATATTTAACTTGAAGTAAATATTCACACACACGACATGAGTTGGAAAACGACACATTTTCATATCCAATTCTTATGTCGACGTAGAGAAAAGGTCAATATTCACCTTTTCTTCGAAACTCGTATTTTCAATAATATTGCAAATATCACAGTGAATAAAAAATGAAAATGTTCGGAAAAGATCAGGCTACAATTTGGTGTTGAAAACCATTCTGAATTTCTAGTGGTTCACTCCACAGGGTGTCTCAATAAACTCCTGAATATTACTCAAGAGAAAATTGATGTCAAACTAAGTGCAAATTTTGTCCGTTCTTCTAATTTTGTCAGTGTGTTGACGAAACTTTCAGCAAAATATTTTCAAGCATCCCTAAACCAAATTTTTGCTTATTGGTACCGTTTCAATGGTAAACCTTACCGGAAAACCAGAACCTGCCTTGATCACTTCCATCATATCAACATTCATTTTTCTCTCCTTTTTATCATCTTTGTCCCTTTCTCTATCCATTCTAGGCTTTGACCTAGACTTTTCCATTTGATCCAAATCACGCGTCTTGGAGCTAGGAACATCATCGCGCATTTCTCTCATTTTTCTTTCCGGAGTAATTTTAAATTAATATTGCATTATATTGTCAAATTGACACGAACTGGTGATTTATTTAGAAATATAAACTTCATTTCCTGTGGAAATTTTGTTTCTAGTGAAAAATGGCTTCGCACATAGAGAACAAGGCCAAGCAGCTTCGGGACGAGGGACTCAAAAAACTCAATTCTCGAGGATTTTTTCAATCCTGGTTCGGAGGTTCGGATAAGGTAAGTAATATTACTGCATTACCTGTAATGGTATTTGATTTATAGGCATTTCTTTATCAGATTTGCTAATCAGCAAATATGAAACTGTACTTTAGTTTTGCTTTAGTCATAGGTACCTATATTCTAGGTAAAGTCAAATTTTAGTCAAAATTGACCAACTCTTATTTAGAAAAAAATCAGCTATGAGGATTGAGGCCCTGCCTGAACACCAATTTATTTTCTTTTTATAAGAAAATCTTGTGAGAAAAACCAGTTTTAAAAGCTGAACATTCAAAAATTTGGTCAGCAAAGCATTTTGTTCCACTTTTGCTGTGGCAAAACTATGTTTGAGGCGGCCACAGACGCTCAGTTATTTTGCACAGGCCGCCACACACGCTCAGTTTTCAGCATCGTTATTTCCAAACAGGACGACAAACGCAGTTCAAACTTTTTTTTTTACAATGAAAATGACTTGTCTCAATACAGCGTTGTCTTGTATTCTGCTTGCTTGTGCAATAAAGAAGAATACTTCATAGGCAGCCGATTTCTTTTTCCAATCACTATAGTCCTTACTTTTTATTTTCCATAAGCATGGAGAGGTTTTGTATATTTCTATGAAGTGGCATAGAAATTATGGGCTGATTAAATGGACTGAACACACACACACACACGCAGGCCAAATTTCAAGCAGATCTTGAATTTACTCAGGCCAGGCCAAAGGCCTACACAGTCGGCCAGAAGTATCCAGTGCCGATATGCTTGCACAAACCAGGTTTGCACAGTCGGCCTGTGCAAAGTGCAAAATAACTGAGCGCCTGTGGGGGCCTTTACATAAACTGCCTTTTAAACATTTTTCGAAGCACAAAAACTTTGTTTTCAATTTCGTTTTGAAGTTATTGAAATAAGAAAATATCAAAAATCAAACTTGAAAACAGAAAATATCATGATGCAAAGTTTTGCAGTTTCTTCATATTATAGGTATGAATAATAATTTAGAAATATAATTTTCCTTCTCATTACGCTGATCGTTTTGAAAATTTGTTCATGTGAAGGCATAATTTTTGGCTTTTAATACAATAAAAACATTCTGATACAGAGATACAGACAAAAATAGCTACAAATGTAGGTGATACATTCTGAAAAATAGATTTTTTTTTGCTATTACTTCAGGAAATCTTACTAGCAAAAAACCCCATAATTATTTACAAACTGAAATATTAGCTGACCCCCTTTTTTTGTATAATTGAACTTTGACTTACCTTGAATAGGTTCAACATAATGCACTTTTGCCACACTAACCACTTCAATTATTTCATGAAAATGTCATACTTTGAAAAAAATAAATTTCCACTTACTTACTAAACAATAATGTCCAATTAATACGGTATGCACTTTAGATATAAATAAATGTTTCTGGATTGTGGCCGGTTAAAAAATTAAAACTGAACCCTTTATAGAATCAAAAAGTTTGTGCAACAGGTCACCCTTGTCCCTTATCCTAAGCTTAAACCGTTCCCGATGGCCTATTCCATTACACTCTGCATCAAAGTCTATATTTGGTTGGTTTTGTTTTAAAATATTGATTTATTCAGTGAGTGTGATGAGATGAGGGGCCTAACAAAGTGTAGATAATGTGCCTCACACATACCCGATATTTCCGGTGTAATCGACATGAAAAAAGGGGAAATTGAATTTTCGTGCCCTTGTTTTAGGCTTCAGAAGCAATCGACTACTACACTAGGGCGGGAAACTTGTTTAAAATGGCAAAAAACTGGCAGGAAGCAGGCGAAGCTTTCCGCGATGCCGGAGATTTGAATTGCAAAACCCAAGACGACTTGGAAGCGGCACTCAACTACTCAGAAGCGGGAAATTGCTTTAGAAAATACGACACCGCCAAAGCCGTCCAGCTTTATACGAAAGCGATTAAACTGTATTCGGAAATGGGTCGGTTTTTTACTGCTGCCAAGATCGAGCAAAAAATCGCAGAGCTAATGGAAGAATTGGAGGATTTTTCGGGAGCGATGGTCCACTACGAACTGGCTTCGGACTTGTTGCACGACGAGAACCATCACACGATGGCGAACAAGTGCATGCAGAAAGTAGGCGAGTTTGCAGCTATTGAGGGAAAGTATCAAAAGGCCATTAAGGTGTTTCAGGTAAATAAAAATAACCAGTACCGCGCTGTATATGGTATTTACGGTCACACAGTTTTATTGATCTAGTATGGAAAATTCTTATTTCGCTTGTGTATAGGCAGAGAGGTACATGAAAAAAGAAATCAAGAAATCATTTAAAATTCACTAACAAATTATTTCTAAAACTGATATTTCAATATGTAATTATTGTTTCAGGGACTAGCCGGTCCTTTATTGACGTACACTGCTATAGAGTACTTTTTTAGAGCGTGTATTTGCCATTTGTGCAACGATCCTCAAATGATGGAGAGTGTTTTGATACGATATCAAGAAGCTTATCCGAAATTTAAAAACACCAGGTGGTTTTTGGTAAAAAACACAATATGGCACTAATACAAGCCTTATTTTTATAGAGAGTACCATCTAATTATTACGCTTTTGGACTGTATGGCGCAAAACGATATGGACAGATATGCAAACGAAATAAGAATCTATGACGGAACTGGCAAACTGTCCAATTGGCATATGACTATGTTGCTCAGAGCCAAAAGCTCTCTCGATTATGAAAGTCTCAGATAAATGGACAAAATAAAAACTGTTTTAGTTTTTTTTTTCTCATAAAAATTAAGAATTTTTTTATAAAACATACATGTTTATTCAGCAACTTTCAATGTCAGCTAAATTTTTAGAATCCTCAAACAACCACAAATCCTCCTCATCATCTGGAGCCCTATTTTTCTCATCCCAAGCAGCTAAAAAATCCATATCTTCTTTATCGTCATCCTCATCTACCAAATATTTCAAATCTTTATATTCTGTAGTAAGATCCAATTTTTCACCATCATAAATCTCTTGAGCTCCCATATATTCGCCAGCAACAAGAGATTTAATCATATAAGGCCCTTCTAGTTCATATCCTAATTTGCGATAATAATTTCTCGTGCCCACTCCTGATATAACAGCAATTTTATTTGATTTGTGCTCACTTATAGCTATATCTTCCGCCCATTGCATCAAAAGTGTACCATATCCTACAAGCAATTAAATAAAGCAACTCAAATTTTTCACCCACATTCTCACCTTGATGCTGGAACTTTGAATCATCTCTACCACTTACAGGCACAACGCTCCCATAAACATGTAGCTCACGAATAATGGAAGTTTCTCCTACAAGTTCAGGCCTGTAGGTAGTTTCTTTTGAACACTTTCTCAGCCTCAAAAGACCGACTAAAATGTCTTGCTTGGGATCTTCGTAGCTCAAAAACGTTTCCCACCCACCGTTCGCAACGTAGTCGCGCCTCACCGGCTCCACGTCGTAGGGGCGCACTTTTTCGTGGATTTCTGTTATGCCTACTTCTCTGGTTCTCACGTCGCGACATTTCAAACCCAGATCTTTCATACGGGCCAGAGCTAGTTCACGAAGATTACCATGTTCAACACCGGAACTAAGCAATAAAGAATTTTCATTGGCAATTTGAAGATTTATCATTATTATAGTTTAATCAAATTACACTTAGAGATTTGGTGTTTAAATGATCATAAAAGTACAGCCCAGAGACTCCGTGTCATGTAGAATTCTACATATCGACAGGACTGTATAGGCTCGACCGTATATGCGGCATTCGGATATGTTTCGATATGTCGAATTCTACATGGCACAGAGTCCCACCACAGGTAACATTTTTTTTTTTCTAAACAGGGTTGGGAAACAATTTTCTCTACTTTGATTTTTGGATAGATTTTTGATGGGTATTTCCATATAAATTAACACAAAAATTCATAGAAAAATTCTATCAAAAAAAGAGAAAAATCAAACAATTTTTTATTATCGAAAATTTTCCAAATATTCTTAAGTTCATGAGAGTTTTAAGTTAGTTCTTAAATGTCATGTAACGATTTTCAAGATATTCTGGAGGTTTACAGTTTCAGATTGCTTCCAAAAATTCCATATGATTTGAAAAGTGTTTTAGACTTCTAGAGTGTTTCAAAAGCTTTCTAAAATGTTTCCGAAAATTCCGACGAGTTCTGGTCTGTTCCAGAATGTCTCTCAAATTCTAAATTGGTTCTAAAGTGTTCTGTTACGTTTTACAATGTTCTCAAAGATTCCAATTTGTCTCCAACAGATGCAGAAGGATTGAAAATTGAATTGAAATACTAAATACTTCTGGAAGCTTATCAAAGTCCTGAATTGCTCCAGAGCGTCTTAAAATGCTTGAAAATGTTCTAACTTGGCGCTAGCACATTCTGAAACGTTTCAAAATGATTTCCAGAGTTTTTAATTGGTTTCTCAATGATTTTGAAGTGCTGGAATGTTCTAGAAGCTATCACAAATCTTCCAAAATGTTCTTGAGCGCTCTTTGATACGTTATCTCATCTGTTCAAAAATAATAGATTTTAATACATAAAAATAGGTATAATATCAAAAACTCCAATCTCCATCAAAAAAATCCAATTCTCTATCCACTATAATACAATTAGCCGGATTTTTGCCAACCCTGTTTCTAAATGAGTTATTTTGATTGGTTTATTTAACTCTTACCTAACAAGAGGCATTGGAATGTCTCTTTGCACTCTATAGACTCTTGTCCATGGCGGTACTAAAGCTAAAATTTTAGCAATAAGATCTACAAGCACAGAAGGAGGATAACTTTTATATCTTCCTGTTTTCCAAAGCTCATAGAGGCCAGTGCCTCTAATAACAAGAGTTGGATAAATTTTCAAGCCATCAGCTCTAAATTCAGGATTTTTGAAAAATTCCTAAAAATAACTACTATAATATTGAAACAGTAAGGATTTGATTTTAATTCTTACAATAAATTGTTCAATATCCCTCTCCAAATCAACATTAGGCAAATCAGGCATCATATGAACAACAACTTTAAATCCAGCATCTTTAGCCCAATGAAATGTTTCACATACAGCTTTAACTGTATGCCCTCTGTTTGTGTCCCAAGCCACATCTTCATAGACAGATTGAACGCCGATTTCAAGCCTGGTACAGCCATACTTCAGCATATCAGACAGGTGTCTTTGCATACAATAATCTGGCCTAGTTTCAATTGTAATGCCAATACATTTAGTGTTGGATCGTTCTGAGTACATGACAGCTTCTTCTACAGAAGCACTTTTGTGGCCCGAAAGGGCGTCATGTAGATTTCTGATGAAATAGTCTCTGTAGTCTTCTGGAAGACTCATAAATGTTCCACCCATTACAATAAATTCAACCTGAATAATTATGAATTGTTATCAATTGCTGTAGATAAACTCAGCAACTTACCTTATCCACAGAATGGCCTAGTTGTTTAAGTTGTTCCACTCTATGCCTTGTTTGCAAATAAGGATCATACCTTGCCCTAATGGCTCGCATTGAAGTAGGTTCATACCCTGTATAGCTCTGAGTAGAATATTCAAAATCAGAATCTGGGCCTCCAGGACAATAAACGCAAATATTGCCAGTGTAATTAATGTGTGGGCACCTGTGAGGTTTGCACATGACTGCCACTATAGCAATCTACAGAAAAATTTGTGTAATAGTAAAAAGTTTGGGGAGTTAGTTTTTTTTTTACCCCACTAGCAGTCCTAATAGGTTTCGCCAACAATTTCGGGACTAAAATTTTTTTGTAGTTGATGGGGACCGCTGCAATGATGTCAACCAGTCTGGGTGACGATTCCAGGCCATACTTGGAAGCGGTTTTATTTTTGAGGGCATTGAGGTTTATGTCTTTTTTGTCTTCGTGGGCTTTGATGAGTGCCTGGACAACTTCAGCTACAGTAATTACTCTGCGTTCTTCCACAGTGAGGTGAGAAAATGCTGAAATCGGTTTTATTGGATTTATAAAGCTATAGGAAAATAAAATGAGAAGAGGTGAGTATAGGCCTCAAATATGTTGGACCAAGATTATTGAACTGTGTCCCATGGATCAAACCAATATGAGCTTTATGTTTAAAGATAGCTGGATTACCTCATAGGTACCTAATGTTCTACAGAGATACAGGATTTAGTATAAAGAAATAAAACACAAAAAACAACTTTTGAATTTTACATTATTCAAGAGATATTATTGAAAGTATCAGGTTCCAGCAGGAGTTTCAGGGTAATTCTACATGCCCCACTTTTCAGCATGCCTTTTAGCAGTTTTAGGTCATGAAATCACCACTTTTCCGCATTACTTTCCAAATAAATATATTCAAAATTGGTAGGTGTATAGGTACAAATAATAGTATGGAGAAGAAGTTTTCCACATTACTTTTCCGCACTAGTGCACTGGTAAAAATATCTAAAATTGGTAGGTACTTAATATGTACAGGAGGTACAAATAATAACTTTCATCTAGTACAAAAAAAAGTGTTCCTAAACTCCTGCGGAAAGTCTTTTTTTCTCACTTAATCGCGTGCGGAAAAGTGGTACTTTCCGCACTAGTTAGGAAAATTGCTATTCGTGCACATGAATCATATGGAAATATAAATCGTTCAGAAATATAATTGTTATTTACCATTTTTCTTATTAGTCTTCCTTCCGCCCATGGTGTATTTTCACTTGCAAATCAATGGGAAATTAGGAAATTAAAGAAAAAAATCACAAAATCCAGACAACTGTTCAAAAGGGAAAATGAAAATAAAAACTATTTGAGGTTATGATTGAGGATTTGAATTGAAAAAATTTGATACGGTATTTTTGTCTTTTTCGTTCACATACTGAGAAAGAGATGCAAACATACTCAGTACACTAAATTAGGGATTGCATACGCAAATGATTAAATGTTGACGTTCGAATCACCCCAGGGGTGCGTTCAAGGACGGCAATGCTAATGCCAAAACCTACTTTTCCCCCTCCACTTGTAATGGCGAACAACGTAGGTTGGAGCCGAACTCGAACGCAAAAAGCCAATTTTGGCTTGGCTGTAGCCATTTCTGAACGCAGCCCAGGGACTCCGTGTCATGAGAATGTCATATCGAGCTGGGTTCGGCTTGCACACTCCGTGTGACTCCGTTCGCACCACTACCTCGTTCGCACTCCAGCCGATGTCTGATTCGTTAAAAGGCAATACCCGAACGGCTAAAGTGCGAACAGAGTCACACGGAGTGCACGGATTGTGCAAGCCGAACTAGAGCTGCTTTCCAGTATGCACATTGGCGCGCTCTGGCGCGCTCTAGAGCACCTCGGGGGCGCCACGCACTAGATTTGTACCGTTCCAGTATCATGACGTGAGACGCCCGTCTTAGTGTCAAATATGTCAAATTTTAAAAATAATTATCTGTTTGTTTGTGCAGTTTGTTTTTTTATTTATCATAAATGAAAGAGAATCAAAACTATATTTTTTAAAATGTTCAATCTTGAAATATAACAAGAAATAAATAAATAAATAGCCACCCACGGATGTGACAGCTGACAGGTTGACGCGTACGTACAGCTCGGGGGCTCAACGCCCCGAGTAGCTCCGGGCGTCAAACTCCCATACTGGAAAGCGGCCTAGGGTTGCTAGATTGAAATATCTACAAACCGGGTATACCAATCAAAAAGCGGTTAAAAAATCGGGACTCTGAATAAAAATCGAGACAATTTTTTTTAAAGGAATAATTTGATATAAAAATAATACTGAAGAATGAAATTTGAAATTTTACTAGTAAAAATCGAAATGGGCAAAAATTCCATTCTTTTACACCTACAGATAAAGAACCTAGATATCTCCAGAGTTTCCAGACAGTATATCTTACGAAATAGACTACTTGCTTTCTAGATAAAACTTCTAACAGAACGACCACATACAGATTATCAATGATGATTATAGAGTTCTGAGCAATAAAATTGAACTCGGAGTTAACAAGTTAGGTACAATTCAAAAATAAGTAAGTACCTTTAATTTAAAAAGAATTTCGTGAAATCGGGACATTTAGCGTCCCGAAGTATAGTCCATCGGGACACGGGACAAAATCTCCAATATCGGGACTGTCCCGTTAAAATCAGGACGTCTGGCAACCTAAGCCGAACCCAGCTTCGATAGGATTCTGTCTGTGCCTGTGCGTTCGGTATTTTGATCCGAGTTCTCCAAGCTTGAATTTACCGTTCGTTTTTTTAAAAAGTGTACTCGGTGCAGGCTCATTTGCGTTCGTTTATTGAAATTTCGGGCACTCTGAATTCTGATTCAATTGCTCCATTCGCTCGCTGGTCACGTGATAACGGCTCTGTTCATTCTAAATAGCACGGATTCCCACCATCAAGAGCCGCTTTCCAGCTGACCATATTGAGCACGCAATCGAGCTTTTGCGCGCGCAAATGCTTCAAGCGCGTGTTCGTGTTCCAGCCGTACTGCGCTTCGAGAGCTGCTAACTTTTGCGTTTCAAACACAGAACACTGTGCTGCACCGTGCTTGAAGCACAAACACCAGCTAGAAAGCGGCTAAATAATACGGACGGGGGTGCATTCACGATTCGACAACCCGGGTTATGAGGTAATAGTTGTATACCTTTCAAGAGCTACTCGCTCCGGTGCTAGTCAACCCCGATTTGAAAGGGGATGCGCTGGCTTTCATGCATTTAAATAGTTTGATTCGGGCTTGAGCACTCCAGAACAAACACTTTTCGAAAGGAATAAGGGCGTAACGCCCCGGAGCTGTTCCAGAGCTCCTCCTAGGTGTGAAAGGAATACAACTATTCTACCTACAGTGGCTAAATAAAGCCGCTTTCCAGCTGAGTGCTTCAAGCATGGTACAGCACAGTGTTCTGTGTTCTATGTTCTGCTCCGGGGCTTCACGCGCTTATTCCTTTCGAAAAGTGTTTGTTTCACCACGCATCTATTCCCTGCAAATCGGGGGCGACTAAACACCGGAGCGAGTAGCTCAAGTGTTTCAAGCTCTTGAAAGGAATACAACTATTTTGTGCCCAGTCTTTTGCTACTTTTGAATATGAATATATAGGATTTAGGGCGGGTATTATAAAACTACTTTGAGAGTTAACTTAAAGTTAACTTCTGGAATTACATGTAATTCAAAAAGTTAACTATTATAAAAAAATGAAAGCAACGTTGAGGTGCCTTATGGTCATCGGATACGTGTTTTCAATTTTGTATGATGGATGTCGATTTAAAATTTAAATCCTATAAATTTATATTTAGAAGTAGCAAAGAGGTTGGGCACAAAATGGCCGGTTTTCCATATGAATATATAGGATTTTAACGATCAATCAAAAAGAAGCCAATTGTCGCCACTGTGGTAATAGAGTCACTGTAGCTCCAACAAGTAGAATATACAAGGTAGAACATTTTTAATTGGCCCAGAGCCGATTTTCATCTGTTTCCAACAAAGCCGCTGACTAATCACTCAACATATTGAGTGCTGGTGAACGCGACCATTGGAGAACAAATAAATGTATTGACAGTAATTTCTTTCAAGAGTTTAGAACGCTCGAGCTACTCGCTCCGCTCCGGTGTTAGTCGCCCCCATATCGCCTACGATTTGCAAGGAACGGGCCGAGATTCTAAAATCACGATTCGACACACGACTCGACAACGATACCGGCCTTGTCGTGTCGAAAGGTATAATTCCAATGAGATTTCTAACCTAGAATCGTCGGAAAAATCGTCTCGTTGTCGAATCGTATGTCGAATCGTGATTTTAGAATCCCCGACCAGGGGTGCGATTTTCGAAACCATTCGAGTACATTTCGTACACGAAATTTGACTGACAGCAATGTAAATTAAATGGGGAGCAGTCAAATTTCGTGTACGAAATGTACTCGAATGGTTTTGAAAATCGCACCCCAGATGTGTGGTGGAACAAACACTTTTCGAAAGGAATAAGCGCGTAAGTGTACTCAGTGCAGGCTCATTTGCGTTCGTTTATTGAAATTTGTTGCACTCTGATACAGCGTTCAACTGCTCTATTCGCTCCATGGTCTCGTGATTACGGCTCCGCTCAACACCCTCCCTCTGCTCTTTGAGCAAGATACCGAACGCAAAGTAATGAGAAACCCAAGGATAATACACACTACTAAGGATTGCTTATCGGCCTCGGTTTTGGTAATCGCCGCCATATTGATGTGTCACCATTTCCGACGTCATAACTAAGTCGTCAGCCTCGAATTTGAATTTATGAAGAAAATTATTATTTAATTTTGATTAACATAATAGACAAAGAGGAAGATAAAAACGAGATCTAAAAAAGCATTGTTTTAGAATATTAATTGATGTAGTAAAACCAAGTATGAAGTACCTATACATTAAGCAAAAGCCCGCGGAATCATAAACCTGTAGTGCAAACAGCCTACGTCAAGGCGAGAAACGACATGCTGCCTGATTTGGCATGGTGGGGGGCTTCAGATTTGTTCCACACAGGCCTTCTGAGGATAGGCTATCCTGTAGTAGTAGTGTGTATTATCCTTGTGACAAAACGGCCCTATAACAAATTCAAGAGCCAGGAATAGATAGACAAAAATTGAACTGGAAAAATTGAGAAATAGAGAGAAGAAATTCAATAGAAATTGGTAGACACAAAGTATTTTGTTGCTATTTCAAACTCTTGAGTTCCTCTATCTAGAAAAATTTAGTAGAAAACTTCAAGAGCCAGGAATAGATAAAAATTGAGACGATAAAATTGAGAAACGGAGGTGAAATTTGAGAAAAATTGGTTGAAAAGAGAACATTCATGTTTTTTCTATTCCACGCTCTTGAATTTTCGTTATTACGAAAAGTTTGAGTCAGGAATAATTAAAAATTGAAGAATAGAGAGAAGAAATAATGTGAGACAACGGTAGAAAAAAAGTTAGTTAGGTGAGTGGACATTCATGCTTTCTGTTTCAAATTCAAGAGCCAGGAATACCTATACAAAAATTGAGATGCAAAAATTGAGAAAAACTTGGTGATAAATATTCATATTTTTTCTATTCCAGCCTCTTGAATTTTCTTTTTTCGAGAATTTAAAGAGCTGGCAATATGTTGTAGGTATATTAAAAAGAAATCGTTTTGGGAAAATAATTAAAAAATGCTGTATGACTACGCACATCCAATAGACCTATTAATGTTGGTTAGATATATTTTTCAAGGAGAAGCGGTGGTTATTTGAAAATTTTGGCTTTAGGGCCAAATTATGGACAGACTAGTAAATGTCTGGTTGTTACCTACCTAGCAGGTACTTCTATGCACTAGAGAATAGACAGTACCTGCTAGGTAACAACCAGAAACTTACCCAGTTGGTCCATAATTTGGCCCTTAAAAGTGGATATGCCAAAAACTTGGGGAAACAGCTGTTAACGATTATCGAAAAAAAAAGGACTTAAAAAGTCAAATTACTTATCGAATTTTCTTATACAACATAATGCAGTTTTGTGGCATTCTTAATACAACGACCTGGAGATAATAGAGGACTGGGGTAACAAAAACCTTGTACAGTTCAACGCGCAGAAAACCCAAGCAGCTCTGTTTTCAAAAAAGACCAGCACCGGTGAGCCAAACATCATGCTATCTGGAAGTGCTGTCACATTACAGAGTCAGTTGAACATCTTGGGGGTTACTGCAGAGACCAACATGTCTTGGCACAGTCACGTGGCAGATATTGCTAAAAGGGCCTCCCAAAAGCTGGGGGTGCTATTTCGTACAAGACATCTGTACACACC